AAATTAAAACTACTTCCTTCAGTTTCCCTGTCATCATAAGCAAAGTTACCATTTTCATATCTTTTTAGTTTTGAGGATGAAGATAGGAAGTTACTTTTTTAAAATCTGCAGTGACTTTGATTGCTTTGGGAAAACTTTAGATTTTTATTGCCCTGTTATAAGCTTAGTCAGCACTTCCTGCATTTTGTGTGTATATTTGGGTTTAACTGCTGAGAAGACTGGGCCCCTATATACAACTGTTTCGATTGTTGAGTATTTTAGAATGCTGGTAGGTGATTTCATTATTCCTAAGATTTAAAAAAAAAAAAAAAAAAARAAGGTCCGTGTGATTGTAAACATGACAAAGATGACTGTTAAATATACAATCAGAAAAGGCACTCCTAAATTGTTCTGCTGTTTTGTAAGCAACTTCAGATAATTGTAAGTTGTTACTGCCTTTTTTGAGACATCAGAACAGAGCTGCTTGATGCTGATTAAGGTAACTGGTGTCGTATGTCTATCCTCATTTCAGAATGTTATGTGGTAAATACTTATTAAACTTCAATATTAAAATAGGTAAAAAATGAAATATACAATTTCGTCCAGAGTAACCATTTCTGGATATCTGTAGACTCAGATTTAACACAGGAACTCTTCAGTACAGTGAAGGGATAATCAAGAAATTATCCCGCTAATTTTTCTTCAAGTTTTAAAAACCTTTAGGGAACTGGCCAGATTCTGGACAAGTCTTAAAAGGTCCTTGGCAAAGGAACATCTAACAAATAACTGTGGAAAGGTACTGCTGCTTGTGAAGCAGAAAATATTTAGTGCGGAGTTTTATCTGCAGGTGCAAATTATGGGCAGAATTTTGTCCCAGTGGCAGTACAGTCTGGTAGAGATCGATCTATAATATGAAGGGAAGAGGTAGGTTTTGGAGTGTTGGTGTATGGAACTGACCAAAAGAACTTTTGCGCTGCAGGATAAATACTTTACAATAGAGGTGGCTGTTTGCATCTTCTAAAGCTCTCCCATGAAGGCCAGTTTGGACAGTTTCAGTTGGAGGAGGTTTGAGTAGGCACCATTTTTACTGAATACTGTACTGTTCACAACATTGTTTTATAAGTCTTCAGCTGTAGAAACAGTGTGCTTTGCCTCCACTTTGTTATACTACATCAATTTTGAAATGCAATAAAAGTGGATGTAATATTCAGTCTTTGGCTTCCAATAAAGGGCACTTAATAGCAGTGTAGCATTTGCAAACTTTTTTGCTTAAAGATTTAGATAATCCCTGCTATAAACTACTCCGTAGACCTGCTAGAAAAGCTTGTGATTGAGTGCTATGTATGCTTGCCTTTTTGCTTCCACCTAGAATCCAGGGCCATTACTTTCTGTAACCATTTCAGTGAGCTGCCATAGTTTTCAGTCTGTACTGTCACCTGATCCAAGCATGCGCCAAAATACCCACCGTTTCTGGCTATTGTCTGCTGAATCTGCTTTGCAAACCTGTAGTTCTTAAGCTTTTGCCTTAGCCAAAAACAACAACAGACACCCTCATGGAGTGTCCTGGACACATGCCATCCCGCTTCCCTAACTCCTCTAATTGTTTATGTAAATCCTGAGCTTTACTAAACTTGTAAATGCTACAATGGCATCCCCGTGTGGAATTGTGTGGCTCATGTGTCAAAAAAAGGCTGCTTGTGAAAATATCTGTCAGAAGAATATGAATGCTACACATTGCACTGCATTCAGTGTTTTGTATCGATTTATTATTGCAATGTCACGGTGTTTGATTTTGATTGTAGACAATCATGTTGTATTTTAATACGCAAAGGTAAGTGTGTAAACTGTGTGTGGATGGACAGTATTTAAATATAAACATTTATAAATGTTGGCCTCTTTCTGCAAGAGAAAAATACTCAGTTTTGTATCTTAAGCAGAGGACTTGCTCTCCTTTGCAAGCACATATTTATACATGACTTTTATAGAGACTTTTGAATTTGTGCAATGAGAACTTGTTGGATTTTTGTGAGCTATGTTGGAGACTGATCCTGTTAACACTGAAGACAATGGCTTTAAATTGTTTTATCTTTAACAAAAAACAATATTATGAATTATGATTTTGATCAGGCTATCAGAAAGAATGAAAGATTCAATGTTGCCTGGTCGAGATCTGGTGTTGAGCAACCTCACAACAATTTGCACTCTCCTTATAATCATGCACTTTGTAGATAGATTAGGTGAGAAGACTGTGTTAACTCTCCAGGAGACTTGCTCCCAAATTTTGGTTTACACTACAGATTTCTTGGTGTGGGGGGGGGGATGTTACGTGTTTGCATTGAGGTTGGGACCCGTCACTACTATTTCCATCATTTCCGCTCTCTTTCAGTATTTTCATTCCTTTTTAGTATTTCATCCTGTTTCAGTTTTGACTGTGGCCATGTGCCTTTTCAGTTTCATATTGTGCTTGTAGTGTTATTTACACAGTACTTACCCTCTTCATCTCCAGTCCCTTCACCCTGTTTATCCCTTTTGACTCCTTGATCACAACTTCACATTTCTTTTGCCATTTTTGTCTTAAAAGGGTCATAAGTGACTAGTGGGGGTAATTTTTGACATGCTTACACTTAAAATTATGACTAGAAGCTAATGAATTTCCCTTTACGTCAGTCTTTTTGTCTGGAAAAGACTGTAAAACAACAGTTACACCTTTGCAGGTTCCTCCCTCTCCACCTGCAGTGGAATGCAAAAGTGTGTGGGACATAACAGGATTTAGGCAGCTGCCTGTGGTCCAGTGTAGCTGAGCCAGAATGGCTGAGAGTGTTAGTAAGACACTGTTTCTGGTACTTTTCAGGCTTTGCACTTTTCTATTGCAGAGACACAAACACATTGATAAGCAAATTTGTTGTCTATAATGGGATTGGGAAGGAGGAATTGCTCCTGAGATCCATATCCCTCTCACTGTGATAGTTAGAGATACATTCACAGGAAGTGCTTGTGGGCTTGGATCTTCCCTGCAGCCCTCCCTTTTGTCCAGGGTTTGCAGCCTTTGCCTTGAAACAACTTTCCAACTTTCCTTACCTGCCGTTAACTGAGCAGCATCAGCAGCGATGCTAGCTTCTGTCTGGGCACCGTGAAGCAGCCGCAGAAGAGAAGACCTTTTGCCTCCCCCTTTCCTTGACCCTGTGCGCCCCGTGGGGCTCTCGTAGCTGCGCTTGGGAGCCCTCCCATGTGGTGGGTGCTCGGGCCTCCTCTCCGCTTCCAAAAGCTGCAGGGTGAGATGCTGATGGCAGAGCATTCCAGCCTGTGAGTCAGGAGTCGGGAATTTTCTCTTAAGCAGTTGGTTTTGTCAACCAGAGAAAGTGTCAGAACAGAGTTTTCACTCTGAGAAAGAGCAAATTGTTAGTGCATTTTCCAGAAATGCATTGAACCTCCTGAGGGTTTACTTAGATACAAGGAACATCATTGATACAGTCCGTAAAGATCCCTCCCCTGTTTTGTGTCTTAATGGATTGTTTTTGATCTTGAATATGGAAAGCCTCCCAAAGAGCTGGCTGTAATTTCTTCTGTTCTGTGTATGTGCCTGAGAGCAAAGGTTAGATAAATGTCAACCCGTGCCCTGGCTGCTCTCCCGCCCTGCAACCCCGGCAAGGAGAAGGGTGTTGTTGGCCAGTACAATGCTATTAGTATGTGTGAGTTAACGCTTCAGTTTAGGTACCTTTAAATATATCTTTGTGTATTTTATTAATAGAAGATGATGATTAGTTTCTTTAGAAAGCTGAAGACTCGGCTCCAAGTCATGAGCTTAGGTGAAATCAGGAGTGACTACATCCTGCCCTACAGATCTTCTGTCTCACTATATTTCAGAAGGTTTTTATAGCTGCATTTCTCATTTTTGTTGGTCATACTTTCAAAGGACCTAGTGTATGATATATATATATATATGCACACACACACACACACACATATATATATATGTACACACGCACACTATAGATTTTCCTGATACTGTGAAATGGGTTGCCAGTAAATTTCACTTTTTTAAGATTGGTATTGCAAATTATGTTACTGCAAGGAGGTCTGAATACAAGTTTGTATCCATGCAAAACATAGTTTTTAAGTTATTGGTAAAGCTAACACTTGTGGACTTTATAGAGAGACAGCTTGTAAGAAAGAGTTGTATTCCCATGTGACTCACTCCATTGAAATGAATGGTTTGCACAAATTTACGTAGTAGCTTTTTTTGATTGTATTTTTAAACTTTTAGTTCACAAAATCCATATATTTCAGCAGTTGCAGTCTACTTAAAAAACAATATTTACATAAAGAATCCTTTTAGGAAAAAAAAAGCGCAGTTATGCGGGATACTAAAGCAGAAAAGCATTGATAAATGCAAAACACACGTCTTGTACCTCTTAATGCTGTTAATGTGGAAATATTTCCAAATGCTCGTGGTTCCTATAAGCCAGAAATAACTGAAACTGCAGCTAAAACAAAGATGACGAAGTTGTGTTTCACAATGGCATAGTCTTCAACAGATACTTTTAAATTCTGGTTAAGCAAGAATTTCTGTTAATGGTAAAACCATTCAAATTTTATTAATATAAATATGCTTTGCTGTTATGACTACTGCTATTTTTTTGGTATTTCAAAGGGTCTGTGATGCTTTATTGTGAATTATGTGCTGCTCTCATGTTGTTGGAAAGCTGACAGCATGGTCTTCAAGCGGGTCGTCGAGTTTGGATTGATGTCTGCTGTATTTTTGGTATCAGCTGTCACATGGACAACAAGAGCAAGAATGCAGTGATTGGTTTCATTGGCAATAAGCAAGACAGTGAAATCGCCTGCTTGGTGTTTGCTCAATGCTTGAGGTGCAGTAGTTAAGAAGCACAAAGTTGCAAGATGCAGCAAAGCACTTAAATATGAAAAATCCCATCAAATACAGTATCCTTTCAGATTCATTGCATGAAACTTTATATTGACGTAGTATAGAATAGTGAACTGATTTATACTTTGTCTTTCAGACGAACCAGAGACACGAGATGCCTGGTGGGCAGAAATCAGACAAGAAATAAAATCCCATGCCAAGGCATTGGGGTGTCATGCTGTAGTGGGCTACAGTGAATCAACTAGCATTTGGTAAATCATGTTTTGATTTTTCTAATGCCACAGGCAGTTTCTTTTATGTTTAGTGGATTAAAAATGGTTAAATATTTCAGCACAAATGGTGATACTGTGTAATTTACCTGTTTGTTAAAGTAACTTGCTTAGATTCTAGTATTGCATTTAAAAAATTAATGAGTGCCACATTTATTTTTTTATTGTCTTTACTTTTAATGAATATCCAAACTTTTAGTAGTTATCTATTTTTGCCTTTCCAGGTGAACATATTTGTCTTTGTAGCAATGAGTATCCATAAAGTTTTCTAAACCTTATCTGCCTAAATACTGTTCACAAAAAGGTTGCAGTTTTATTATCTGCTGGTGACTGGCAGTCCAGTACTTGTGTTTAAGCTTAAAGCTTACAATGTAAGCTCTTTGCTAGGAATATATTAATGGGCTGTAAAGGGAGAATAAACTGTCTGCTAGATCAAGCATACTTTGTTGTGAATTTCACTCCTGTAAATTTTTCTAGAAATTACTTTTATCTTTGAATACTGCACTGCTATTCAGTGTATTATACTGCAGCCCTGCTGCCCTCCTCCTGAGATGGAGTGTTAAAGAGAAGTTAAATTTCCCAGCCATGCATTTCAGTCAGGCCAAAATGCCAATATGGTGTTCCATTCTCCTTGGCTAAAAATAATAATAAAAGTTCTTCTGCATTTTAGTGGCTTAATAGCTAACTTTGAGAGAGACTTGGCAGTTGGGAGAAATATTTCAGTTGATCTAGTTACTCCTCTTCCTTCCTGCCTTGCAGAATATTGTGTCTTTCCAGCTTCAGAAAGAAATCCATTTCTTAAGCCTGTGGTAGAGTTGAAAGATAACCAGAAGAGATCAATCAGAAAGACACAAGAATTCAGTTCTTCGCATCTGTTGATCCTTTACATTTATTTCTTTGGTTAAAAAAAAGGAAACACCATAATATAGTAAAAGAATGTCAAGAATATAGGTAGCAGTCAGTTACTAGGAGGTTTCATACTTCCATTTTTCTTTAGAAATTTGGAGTGGTTGTATTTGGTCGTTGATCATGTATTGGGATCCCCATGCTTATTTTGCATATCAGACTGATGATTAAAGAATAAAGCAATAAATACTGACCTGCCAGATGTAGTCTATGAAAAAGGAGTCTGGGAAAAAGATGATAATGTGGTGGGGTGTGGGTTTTTTTGGTTTTTTGTTTTTTTTTTTTTAAATTATCTTTTTTTTTTTTTTAAGGCAAATAGGTCATCTAGAAAATGCAGGAAATGATTTCTTTGTGCCTTTTTCAGCATAGTATTTTAAATAGTATTTTAAATATTGAATATTATAGATCTGTCTCATATTTTAACAATTTAAGAAATGCTGAGTGCTTTATGATCACACTTCGCCAGTGTCAGAAATTGAAATCTCCTAAATCAGGAATGTGAATTACTTTACATGCTATATGAATCATTATAATTGTTATGCTTAAATTTTACTCTTTTGCTGCTTTTTATCCTTCAAGAAAGAGCCTTGTCAGTGTTGTATTATAACTTCCATTTGAGAGTGTTTATGAGGTGATGAGGCTTTCAACCTCCATTTTGCTTTGGTAAACAATTAAGCTTTGCTTTATTTATTTATTTATTTTTTTTCTGTGTCTTTGTTGTTTGGTTGGATTGTCCAGCCTTAACACCTGTAGTATTGAAAATCTTTCTTAAGCCTAGATAGGTGGTGTGATACTATAGCATATTATTTATTACCATGGGCAAAGCTGTTTAGTCCTTCCGCATCTCTTTCTTGGACAGTAGTTTAAATACGTCGGGAGGAGAGTTTTGTGAGCTTTAATGGATGAAATTGCACAAATGCACCAAATGGAGGTTTTGAACAAGCTCTTTAATTTAATAGCTTTAAGTAAAACTAGCATCAAGTCGCAGGAATTGACTTTGTTGTAATTCTTTTCTCTTATAGTGAGGAGGTCTGTATTTTGTCCGCGTCTGGCACAGCAGCTGTACTGAACCCTAGGTTCCTCCAGGATGGCACCGTGGAAGGCTGTTTGGAACAAAGGTTGTCATGGCAGCCTGGCTTCTTTTCCATAGGGTCAGAGAAGGGAGAGGTTGATTTTTTTCCTCAGAGCCAAGATAGTTCTTCTCTATTAGGGTAGGTTACAGTGTTACAGTGCAGGATGCGGGACCAACCACTTTACTGCTTTTCACTAACAACAACAACAACAGAAGTAATGGAACTCTGCACCAATTTAGATAGTCTGTTTTTATTTCTAACAGTGTGAATAAGGTAACACATTTGACTACTAACCACAGATTATAATTCCTTTTTTTTTTTTTTTTTTTTCTCCCCCTTCCCCTCCTCCTTTGCCACTCTTTAGGTATCTTTCTCACCTTTATAGCAACCTATTGAAACAAAAGATGGATGTATGATAAATTACATGAGCCAGCTGTTACCGTGGCTGTAATATGTGGACTGTTTTATATACTATTTAATAGCTGTATGGAAGGTGATGTACCTTGGTAAAACAAAAATGTTGGTATATTTTTAGCCACGGTAATATATATTTTATTTAAAGTTATGAATAAAATCACAAAACAAAAGGAAAAATGTTGACTTTCCCATTACCTCCCTTTGTTTCAGCTTTTGCAAAGGAAATTTGAGGAAAGAGTTTTGACAAATGGTTATTTTTTTGAGGGGGGGAAAAAAAGAGGCCATTTACTGTGTGTACCTTAGCATAATCATTGTACATTTCAGGGGTCTGTTACAGTCATAAGTAAGGTTACTTACTGCACTGTATTTTTATTACTTTTTCATTACTTTACCCTGTTAAAATGTAAGAAATGATACTGTTATTTATGTTAGCAAGTGGCCATTCTTTATCCTGTAGACAGCCTCTTAGAAACTGTAACCAGTAGTTTCTCTCCAAAATGGCTGTGCTGTGGATTACTATTTGAAAGTCATAATTGTAGAGCATAGAAAGCCAGCACAGTAATATTTTACTTACGTAAGTTATTGGCCATTTTATGCACTTGTTTCTTGTCCCCTACATAATGCAATTTATTATGTATACCACTTTAGCTAGTAGTATGCAACCTTATTTTACTCTGTTGAATTGGTATCATAACCTGTGACATAGGTGTCATGAAATAGAGTGTATCTGTAGGTGTTTAATCACTTGTGTGCCTATTGATCCTTGTTATTTACAATACAGATTTTTCAAATGTGTTGTCCATAATGTATTTTTAGGATTGAAGAAACTTCACCACCAGGTTGTGGATTTTGCCATATACCATATGATGAACTGAACATGCCATTCCCTGCTCACCTCACATACTGCTACAACTGCAGGAAGCAAAAGGTTCCCGATGTCCTTTTCACTACAATTGATCTCCCTGTAGAGGCAATCGTTATTGGGAAGGGATGTCTTATTCAAGCCAGGTATTTGCCTTATTCAAGCCAAGATTTGCAGTGGGAAAGAAGGAATTGTTAGCAAGTTATCTGTATTTTTGTCCAAGGACATGGGACAATTGGGTGTTTGGGCTTAGAGGGTTGTGGTTGATGGTTCTTAATCCACCTGTGACAAGTGGAGTATTGCAGTGGGATGTATTTTGTGGCACAGCAGTGACTTTGAGGGGTGATGGACTCTCATCCTGTATGTTGGTGATGCTAAATTGGGGGAGACCAAACTTTGTGTTGCCTGTCCAGCCTTGTCCCTTTTCAAGGCTGAGGAAGACACAGTGAACTGGAGCAAATTCAACAGAGGGCCACCAGTATTGTCATTAGCTGGAGAAGCTGCTCAAGAAGGGAGAGGCTGTGGAAGCTGAACTTGGCTGCAGAAGGGAGGACTTCAGGGGGATCTCATACAGCCTGCCCCTCCTTTCGGGGGGTTCTGGCAGAGATAAAGGAAGGGTCTCCACAAGAGTATGTGGTGGGAGGAAAACAGGAAGTGGGTGTAAGGTGAAAGAGGAGAAGTTCAGACTGGATATAAGGGAAAATTTGTTCCCCTTGAGAATATTCAGGCAGTGGGACAGCTTGCCCTGAGAGTCCGTGCAGTCCTTGGCCTTTTAAAGACTCAGCTGGATAAACCCCTGAGCATCTGGGTCTGATGTCAGCTGACGCTCTTCTGATGAGGAGGCTGCACTAGAGATGTTCTGAGATCCCTTCCAGTGGTGGATGAGCTCTCTAGTGTCCCTGTAGTAAATTCATTGCTATTAAAAGTGAACTGAGTCCAGCTTCACCTTAGAAATTATCTTCTAGTGTCATGGGGGAGTGTCCAGACTGTCTTTAGAGAACCTGATAATCTTGCAGATTCTTTGAGATGATTCCTGACACATTTTGCAGAGAGATCTGGTTTCTTGTCACTGTTTTCTCTGATAAAAGAGTATTTTCTAATTATCATATTCTGCTTTGATCTGCTCTTGAATATTGATTAAGACTGTTTTTTTTTAAAAGCTGAAAGTTAAACTTTTTTTTTGTCAATTTAAATACACCGTTTCCTGATTAAAATGAAAATGAGATTGTATTTATTAAGGCTTACTTTGGATTTACCTGTGAAGAATTTACTTGTTTTTACAGGATTTTAAAATACCGAAAACAAACAGAGGAAGCATTTGTATTCTGTTGTTCAGTGAGAATAAATAAAAATATTTTGCAATCATTTCCAGTCCTCAGTGGTCAGTTGAATCTTTTTATCTGCTAATGCCTTACTCTGTTTCACGTTGTTAGGTTATGCCGTCTAAAGAAGAAGGCTCAAGCAGAAGCAAATGCCACATCTATCAGTAATCTCCTGCCATTTATGGAGTATGAAGTGCACACCCAGCTGATGAATAAACTTAAGCTAAGAGGCATGAACGCTCTGTTTGGGCTGAGGATACAAATCACTGTGGGTGAAAACATGCTCATGGGCTTGGCAGTAAGTACTCTTTTAATCTTGGGATCCTCTTGCCTTCTTGCACTGTTTTCTTCAGGTGACAAAGTGTGGAATTCAGAGTAACAGAGTGATTAACGTGTCTTTTCAAGAGTGAGTGAAGTGATGGAAATGCTTGAGATAGGAGCTGTTGACAAAGCAGAAGAGACTGTCAGCATCAGAAAAAGCAGACTGGATGCTCTCGAAACTGTTAGGGGACAAGGATAAGAAAGGGCATGAGGGAGGAAGAAGCTTTACATAGCTTAATGGTATATGTTGTAGGAAAATGATTACATGCTTTGAAGGCCCTGTCATAGAGATCTGATTCTTAAGTTTCATGTTTTTCCGACAAAAAATAAGATGCTAGCTAATTAAGGTCTCAATAAATCTTTTGATTAGTTACCAAAAAGAAAGATTTGTGTAACTTGATGTCAATGAAGAAATAAATGTTACATTGAAACTGTCCTAGTTATAAAAGGAGGTAGAGATGTTTATTAAGAATATTTTCTAACCACCTTGTTTTGTCATTGGGGTTAGAATAATAAAGTATACTGCTTTCTTCATGAGTAAGAGGGTGCTTGGCTAATGTTGAATGACACCTCTTGTCTGAACTGCTGATCTGCTTTCTGTAAATATATATTGGACTGTCACAACTTCAGTGATCTTAATGGCTGGGACGTTAAGATCTTAAATCTATGAAAATGTAAAACTTGCTTAACTGTGCAAATTGTCCCAGAGCCAGGACCTATGGCAATGTATTTAATTTTGAATTTGAAGGTAAATTCAGAAAGTTTTAGAAGACGGCAGAGAATAGATCAGGTTGTAAAAATACACATGCTGTCCACTAGGGCTTAAGCACTACTGAAACTGTATGAAAAAAGTAGGAGTACATGCTTAACTAAGAGGCATGAAGTTGCTGAAGTGTAATTTTTAAAAATTATTTTTTAAGTCTGCAACAGGTGTGTATCTAGCAGCTTTGCCAACACCTGGTGGTATTCAGATTGCTGGAAAAACTCCAAATGATGGCAGCTATGAACAGCACATATCTCACATGCAGAAGAAGATAAATGATACAATAGCAAAAAACAAGGAACTTTATGAGATCAATCCTCCTGTAAGTAAAGCTTTTTGAAAATGCTTGAAAATAAAGTTAAACTCGCATGCACTATGTGTATGCATATACTCTTTAATTCTTAATGAATGAATCATTCAGAACACATTTTCTTGTAAGAAAGACAGATAAACTTTTCACTTTCATTCATGAACATATCTGGAATTCTCAGCTGTCTTCCTCTATGGAAATAATTCACTATATTTGGATATTATCCAAATTTCCCTACATGTGTTTCTCTGGATTTTTTGTTTCCAGAATAGTTTGACTCTTAGGACTATAAGTGAACTGCTTACTGTTCACTTTACTCACTGGTTTATGAACTGTGTAGAACAACTGTTCATTTTGTTATGATACTGTTTTCTAGGAGCTACCTGAAGAGATCATTGGGTCTCCCATTCCAGAACCCAGACAACGTTCCAGGCTGTTAAGATCTCAGTCAGAAAGCTCTGATGAAGTTACTGAGCTAGACCTTTCGCATGGGAAAAAGGATGCTTTTGTCTTGGAGGTGATGAATGTTTTTAGTGTTAATGTTCATACTTTTCCTGAAATGTTTGCAAGAAGCACAGAAAGGATTTCTTTCTTGTGTTCAAAACCAGTTTCTAAATCCTATATATATTTCCATATTATATCAGTAGAAATTGTTAAAAATTACATTTTGCATTGTTTCTGTTTTTATGTAAGATAAGCTTTCATAGTAGCTCTTAAATTTAATGAGAGCTGTTTTAATTAAGTAATTATTATGTAGTATAATGTATTGTGTTAGCAGCATTGGTCTTAAAAAGTCAGCTGTGTAGGCTAGTGGGAGTGATATTTTATCCTCAAAATGAACATGGTGAAAGGCACTGTCTGACAAAGAACATTGAAATGGATGAGCCCATCAAAAGATGTTTGGAATGCCTCTGGCAAAAATAGTTCATTTGTCAAGAAATTAAAGAAAAAAAAAAAAGGCAATGACTATGAAGACATTCTGTACCAATTTTGAAAAACCTTGAGAGAAGTGTGGGCCCAGCCTTTGTATTACTTTCAAAACTTTGCAGATGGGACAGAGGTGGCAATAAAAAAAATAAAAAAAAATCGAGTGTACTTTTTTATGTCACATTGCCTTGTAAAGAAGGTTAATGCATTCTAAGCAAAGAGATCTGCTAATGAAGAGATGAAGCAGAGGTTGTTGCTGGGATTTTGATTTGATGGCTCGTTTCATTTTTTTCATTTTTGAGGAATTCTTTCCTCTCTGCTATTTATTCTCTGTGGCATATGTATTTAAGGGTAAGGGATTACTAATTTACATTATGTGAACATGTTGTAGGATATGTATCCTTGTGTTCTGGTAGCCTGATGTTCACTTGTAGGAAAAAATAAGTTTTTCTTCTATAGAAGTAGTGAAGTGATTGACTGGTATAACCACTTACTGCTACTGTCTCCTTTGTTAAGAAACTGAGTACAGTGAAGCAATATTCCAGGGGCTCTGACAGAGCTTCTGACTCTGGCCTCTCAAGAATAAAGATATTATTTATTTAAAATATGTAAGAAAAAGAGCTTAATGTGCTGAGAAAATGCTATGACATGCTGGAAAGGCAGTAATGTGAGGTAAATTCTCCATATTTTTTTCAAGGAACTTTTTTAGTTAGAGAAGGAGAAAGATGATACCTTCCAGACAGCTTTCTGATACTAGAATTAAAATGTAAAGGATTTCAAAAGAACTTGATGGAAAAATGATGGAAGGTAGGGGTAAATTTGGATCTCTTGCGGATTGGTGAAACAGTGAACCCAATGATATACAAAAATATTTACAAAAGATACAAGGGCAGACAGACTTCACTAACACAGGTGTATGATGTGTATCAATTACTCCGTTTTCCAGATTGATGATACAGATGCAATGGAAGACGTACATTCGCTGCTGACAGATGCTCCACCACCTTCAGGTATAATGAAAAACTTGGTTTGTGTGCTGGTTTTTGTGGTCGCCTCCAAACATTTTCAAAGTTTACAACATACTCAGCAGAATAGATTTGTACAAAGGCTTTGTTCAAGTGTCAGCTAACAAGATACCTGCTCTTGATGATATCAAAGAGGATTTATTAATCCTTATGCTTTTGCAAGTTGCAAAAGCCCCCAGTGTAGTGCACTGGTGGTGTTTGCCCTTCTTAAAGGAATGTTTAAGTGTATTGTGATCAGATACCTCATATGCCTCAGTCGGATGGTACTTCTGGTCTTGTTTTTTGTCAGTTAAAGAAATATTCATAATAAATATTCTATAGAGAACTGCAATATCTTTCTTAAAAAACAGCATCTTTCCTAGCCAGTTTTCATTGCAATATTAATAGCAGAAAAACATGCATTTCTTTAGTATCTTATATTGTATTCTTTACTTGCTCAATTTTTTAGAGTACTGGCCTATTTTATTTATTTTTTGTGGACATATGTGGGAAAATATTTGCAAAACATCCGGAGAGGGTTGCATATACTTTCAAGTAAAGTTTTTTGATTATTCAGTGTTGAATGTGGATTTTTTAACAGGTTTTTACAGTTGCAACACAGAAATTATGCCTGGTATAAATAACTGGACTCCTGAAATTCAAGTAAGGTTAATTATGAAAAATCCTTTTTTTTTTCTTTTTCTTTTTTTCCAGTTCTCTTAAACTATTCACCAATTTCACCAATTTCAATGGAGATACTTGATTTGAAAACTAAATTTTAGACGGATTCTATACCGTCGTATAGCATTAAATATTCTGAATGTACTTCAGCTAAAAATTGAGGGCCTGTTTCTTTGTGCTCTTAAATGCTGTTATGTAACATAGAATTCTTTGCAAAAATAAGAAAATAATTATGATAAATATGAATTTTAAATTATCAAGCATTTTTAAGAGCTTAGCTGGATTTTAGAGCCCCTTAAGCAGATTATTGAATTAGTTACTTAGTATGAAACGGTGGCTGTCGTCATACAGTGTCGGAGAGAGGCAGATCAGCCAGAAGGGCTGTACATGCAGGGCATGGATGATGCTGCTCTTGGTGATTAAGTGTAGATAGAGCAGGGTAGAATGACTCCTTTGTGAGGCAAATAAAGGGAAATATGGTACTTTATATTTGCTCAATCACCTTTTTCATATATACACTAATTCATAGAAGTTCTTTGGTTGTTTCCTTTTATTTGTAAAATCTCATGGGCGAACAACATTATATTTGACTGTTACTGACTGCATTTTTTTCCTTTCCATCTTTCTTGTTTTTCTTAGCTGTGTTATGATTAATTTATCTTCATAATGAACTTTTTCATGCATCTATAGAAATATCTTGGGGGGGGAAAAAACTGTGTTTGTTTTACTTCAGATGTTCACAGCAGTAAGAGTATCCAGATTAAGCAACGTAAACCTGACAAATCAAGCACTTAATAAAAGCTTTAATGATCTCTGTGAGAATCTTCTGAAGGTAAGAGGCTTATTTCAAACATATTTTAAATCATTAAAATGGATTTGCTTCTTTTTTTTTTCCAAATTAGACCTCATTTTGCACTATGACTATAAAGTGCTGTAAAGATATATTAGATTAATACATCAAGAATTTTCAAAGCTTTTTGAATCGGAACAAATCCTTTGACTAGCATTGCATTCTAGAGAGAGCAATAATCTACTTTATGTAGTAGTCTTTACATTGTGCTACAAATTCTTTGAGAGACATTAGATGTGCTTAAATGCTTTTTGCTTTTTCCATAGCTTTATGCTATGGAAAGAAGTCTGCTCTTTAATTTCTTTGGAATAACCAATGCGTTTTTCAGAGCAATAAAAAATAAAATCTTCTCTTCAACAGAGCTTATATTTTAAACTACGATCCATGGTTCCCTGCTGCCTTTGTCATGTAAATTTTACCGTTGCTCTTCCAGAGGATGAATTAGTTCAGGTAATTCTGTCTTTGAAACGTGCTGGCTTCGCCTTCATTTGCCATTTGCTGTTGTGAGTAAATTAGGCTAGGATGGTGTTACTGATATATCTGATGAATTGTGAAGAGCAAAAGCATATGTGCAATACATCAGAATATAATGGATATGCCGCAGTATGGCAAACTAGTTTCTGAGAGTGACACTAGCATAAATGTCTCATTTTTTTCTATTTCAGAAGGTTTAAGTATAATTCCGTAATTGTTAGTAAAATGTTTTCTGTACAATTCAACATCATTTTTGTGATCAGTTATAGTGAGAAATAACTTCTTTTTTTCTCTGGTCATTACACCAAGAAAATAAGAATTGATAAACAAGATCATAAGTGGGACAAACACTTGTCAGGTGGTGTATGTTTTAACTGCATACCTTAGTATTGGTGCAATGCTTTGCTATGAAAGGTGTTTAATATTTCTAACTTGCATTATTTTTTCTTTGGTTTTCTTTAGAAAAACCAATAGTTCATATATTTCTTATTTACAGATCGCCGTCACAGCTGTTGCAATAACATATGACAAAAATCAAGCATTACAAGCTAATAAAGCCCCTACAGAAAAAGCCCAGCAAAGAGGTAAATGTAGTGAGGCATGTAGAGTTAAAAGAGAGTGTTTTTGTGTGTGTGCACTGCATTTATATAATTCACACATATATAAAAAGTTACATATGTTTCTAATGATTCTACATTTTGATTTCAGTTAAAAGCAAACATTTTCAAAGGAAAGTTTTGTAGAATCATAGAGCAGAGTTAAATTGAGGCTTTTTGAGTTCATCTGTACGTCCTGCAACTGGATGGCTTAAACCTGTATGTGCTTTTACTTAACTTAGAGTAACATGAAAGAGGTGCTTGATATTTCCTTTTTTGAATAATTTTCTCTCAAGATTAAGGTGAAAATGCAGTCATCTATTAACGCTGTTATTTTGAAACACACAATGCAGTCGTTAGAGAATAGTTGTGCTTTTAAGTAGCACCTTCAGTCCTTACTTTGGAAAGATAGAAAATAAGTTATTTATAATACCAAAAAAAAAAAAAAAAAACAAACCCACAAACCAAAATAAAGCAAAACAAAAAGTTGCCAAAACCTAAGTAGGTCAGTCATATTTTTGGAGTGCAGTGAAGCGTAGAGCCTTGTGGAGGGAGTAGAATCCTGCAATCTGTGTGCGTTATCCTGCTAGCAAAGCACCATCTTGTGTTCAAATATGTATGTGATCAGCGCATCTGAAAGGAGCTTGGACAGACAGAGTTTGGAGGATTACTCCATTCTGAAGAATGAGATTAAATAGGAGAGCACAGTATGATGTACTTCTAAAATACTGGTTATATCTTACCCTGTTCAATGGTAACAATAAATCGTTTTCTCTGATGTGAAATACTGAATGTTACTTTCTATCACAAGTGAACTCAGGTCTGACAGGAGAGTCAAATGTAAAATTTGTGAATTGGCTTGATATTTTTTTTCTCAAGATACTAAATCCTCTTAAGTGGAACCAGTTTTGCAGATGATTTTGTTGCTAGACATGTAATGGTTCATATAGAAATACACCACTATCTGATTATGCTGAATAAACGTGTTCCAGCCAGACCTGACCAAATTAAAACTGTAGTGCTTGTTATTGGCACATCTTGTTTTGGGAGTTAACTGTGTGTGTGCTGTGTTTTCTTGCTTGAAGCATCTACAGACAATGAAGAACAGCTACAATTCCCTCTGGAACTTTGCTCTGACCCCCTTGCTTCCCAGCCATTCTCGCCAGCTAAAGGTTGGTCAAATGAAAGGACGCTGAACTCTGATTTTCACTGATTTTTAAGTAGTGCTTTTTCATTGTTATGGTAGCTTTAAAATATCTGTATGTACTTTCATATGCTCTAGTATTGTGTGCTGCCTTTGGTGAAAGAGAAGTGGTCTGTCCTTAAATCACAATTTTCAGGAGTTAAGTAGCTCTGTCTCCATCATCTCCTGAAAGTTCCCTGTAGTTCTTTATATTTTTGTTACATTTAGTGTATTGAAAATAACCTAAAAATGGTGTTGGGTGACATTTGACCTGTTATGGAATTATTAATTATCTTAAAATTACACTTATCTCATACTGGTTTGTGTGAGCAAACAGCCTGTATAAATAAACTCCATGTACAACCAGCCTCAAATAATTCATGTCATAGTTCTCACAGTGAGAAATACTTTATTTGGCAAACATGAGCTGCTCGTCTGAACAAAATTGCATACAGGTTTTCTGAACTGAAATGAGCTTAAACTTTACTTGATAAATAGCTTGGATCACCTTTAGCTGTTAAACATTTGCTTTTGCTTACCTGTGTACAGCTGTATTTCAAGAATGGTTATCATAAATCTTGTATGAGCGTATTACAAATTAGATGGTCATTCATTGTAATCAGCTATCTTTGTTCTGCATTGTTGGATAATTTACCTGGCAAAATGGCTGGTGATAAAGGAAATTTAGTAATTGAAATATTACTATTCTATATCTATTACTATGGTATTTAAAATTTTCTTTACGGAATGATTCAGGAGCTTCTTCTTTGCTAATATTAAAGGGAATTTCTACAGTATTTACCAGTTTTTTCAGAGGTTAGTTTAATTTCAGCAATTATTTTAGTAATTATTGTTTATACTTACTGTTTTGCAATTATTTATATTATATATTTTTGTGTACTTCGTTTTCAATTGGTTACACTATCATAATATTAACCTTCCCAATTTTGAAAAGATCTATGAGCTTTGACCAAAATAACAGAAAAAAGCTTTTTGCAGTAATGATGCTGCATAGCTTGTACTTTGCCTTTTACTGAGGTAGGGAATATTTGCTTTTGACGTCGTGGAGTCTTCTATTCAGCGCTCCACAATTATGCTGTAATATTGAGAATGGGTATTTGGTATAGAAAAAAGGAAAAGTGTGTTAATATTATGTCAAATTCTATTCCCCTTCCCCTACAGAGCAGTCTTTCTGCGTTTGATTTCTCCTTGAATCTATTGGTTCTTGTTTAAAAGCTAGTAAAGCATTTTAACCCTGAAATAGCAGCAAAAAGCCCACCCTCAAAGGTGATGTCATGTTATTTTAACATTCGGTTTAGTCTTATGTCTGTATAAAATGAAGAATCCATACATTTAGGTAAAATCTTCAAAATATGAGGTGCCTTACATGCTATGTCAAGAAAATTGTCAATCTTGCTTGTCTGCAGTATGAGAGAGCCTTGAAGGTGTTTTCAGTGTGCTGTTTGTGCAGTGGGTACTGACCAGTAGATGGTACTCTGCTCATGTGTATCACTTTGCCAGTTTTCTTCTCGTTTCTCCATCACTGGAGGCTTTCAGCTAGATAATTATTTCAGCAGACATTTCTTTACAAATAGACACTAAGGCTTCAGCGTACTTACAGTTACGTAGCAGCTTTTTAAATCTGTTGATCCCCTTATTTTACTTTTCTGTAGGATTTTTTTCTTTTAAATATTTATGTACACAACCTTGTACTCTAATGAGCTTTAGTAAAAATGCAACAGGTTAATGTTCACTTAGTGTTTTCAATTTATCTCATTTAGAAGCGCCATACTAAGGAAAAGCTAAAAAAAAAAAAAATTGTTCCTTGAATTTTTTGGTTTGTTTTTTGCTCCCATTTTTGCAATTGGCAGTGCCTCACGGATCCAGTCTCATTGTTAAGCGCTTGCTTATCTTGTTCAACACTGCTGTGAAAGGGCGTTACACCCACATGCTGGTGCAGAGAAGTGCAAGAGTTTCCTTCATGTTGCAGGTTATGATGTGAGCTGAGCTCTTGTGTTAGGAGTCTGAAGCACAAGCCTTCTTTTAATGTCACATCTAGTGACATTATTTGACATTAGGGTAAGCTTACATGCCATAAAAGCCCTTTTTTTGCTCTGCTTCTAATCTCAAATTGACTAAAAAATGTGTGCAACCACATGCAAGTACAATAAAACGACCTATTGTAATAGGTAAACTATTAAAAATAGCTTTGATCGTAGAGGTTAAGAAGTACGTGTAAGAAAATGAGCGGGGTGGTCAGGGAAGACAACAAGAAGCGAGTAAGAGCCTGCTGAATTAATCAACAAGATGGATACGAAATACAACATGGGTGAAGCATCCAGTGAAGCACAGTGACTGTCATCAGTAGACTTCGTATAGAAAACGTGTTTGGATGTTGCAGATCCCTCAGGTGTGCTTAAGGATGGAGCTAGTGTTGCTCAAGGGCAGAAATCCATGGGAAATGTGTTGGAAGAAACAAGAGTTATCGGGAAGCCTGGAAATACCCAACGAAAGCATATGACTGAAGTCAGAGTGAAGCTTTTCCTTCGTGTTACTTTCCTTAAGGGAGCATTGAGCATGTTTTAAGGGTCAGTTTCACAGAGAGTCATAGAATCATCATAGCTGGAAAAGACCTTAGAGATCAAGTCCAGCTAGAAGCCCTTCAGAATTGTGTAATATTTCTGTAAAGATATGAATCATTTGTGAAGGGAAATGTTCTCCTGATAAAGATCTCTCAGCAGAGAGGGGAGCACAAGGAGACTGCAAATTGATGTTACAGCAGCAAGTCAAGTCCCGCTTTCATTTTAAGTAGTTGATTCCATTAGTTCTATAAAGAGACTATTTTGTCAGAATTCCTTGTTAGGATGCCAGCTGTCAGGAATGATGAAATGAAAAGCAAAGATTCAAAAGCAAACTTTTTATCTGGTGAAATATCTACATTTTAGCTGCCTCTGTGTATTTTCAAGTGATTCACATTGCTAAAAACTATCGCTGCAGTTTTATATCTGCATGACATGATCCATTGCTTTAAGTACCACTATCTACAAATTAAGGCAAAGCATTTGTTTTGCTTCTTTTTCTTTCCTCTTTCTCAATCAATTACTGCAGTGTGTTAACTTCTCATGTTCGCAAATGGCCTTAGGACTTTCCAAGGCCGGGGGACATCCCCAGCAAGGAACCATCCTTAGCACTTTCCTCAACAGGCAGCTGTCCCAGAGGCCTTGCCCTGAGCTGAGGGTATTCTCATGTGTTCAGGCTCCAGCAAACGGATGGTGATGTTGCAGTTAGAAACCCAGCTCTGTGAAGATGCCTGAGAATGAGAACAAACTTAATATTTCACTATGAGGGGGATTTATGTCAGCAAAGGTGCTTATTTTCTTCTGATCTAGCTTTTTCCCTGTTGTTTTACTCTTTAAATTCATAAGAAGAAAATTGTTGCCACATACTACCAAACTCTGCGATGAATGGAGCTTGTACAGTGTCTGAGTGAAATTCATTTTGTCTTAATAGAGGCCCTGGAGGGTGCAAGTTCCCACACAGGTATTCCTGCCGCACAGAGAGGTGAGTTCACCTAATTTAGCCGTATGCCAGAGCAGAATGAGCATTCTTGGGATATTGGTATACTCTTTTTGGATGTGCCTTAATCCAGGAAGTGTTTACTAGTTAACTGAGAATGCATGCTCTGATGTGGCTTATTGATATCCTGATATTTTGAATTTTTTAAAAAAAAATTGCAAAATTTAGATTTGTTCAATAATAACTGTCTCTGCCAGTTATAACTTTATCTGCCAGAAAATAAGTTTCTTGAAAGAGAGCTTTTTTAATATTAATATTTTGTCTTAATTTGAAGATAGCATGTGCTCCTTTCGTTTCTTCAGGAGGGTGTTTTCAAACCTTTTTTAAAGATATGCAGACACCCCTGTAAATAAAGTCAGAGCAGAAACAACTAGTTTTCATTGCCATAACTGGGGGGGCTGGGATGGGAGAAGGTGGGGGGAAGGACCATAGCATTTTTTGAGGGAAATACTTTCCCCTTTAAAAACAAGGTGCTGTTTCAGCTGGTGGCCCTTATCCTAGTCCCCCAGACCTTTTTCAGTGTGCTAGGCTAGTTACTGATAAGCATGTTTAATTCATGGTCTGCAGCTCTTTATGGAGAGAAAAAAAAAACAACAGCAGGGCGAAAGTGAGTTAAACAAGGCATAAATAAACTTACAGAAACTAGAGCTTAATATACCTAACATCAGACTAAAAAGAAAAAAACGAGCCTAGCCTGAGGCATTAACGATTGTATTTGCGTGTTTTTTCAGGGGTGAAGCCCCAGTCAGGCAGTTGGTTCACAGAGGTGCCCCACCAGAAATCGGTTCACCGCTGTGGACGAGCGCCCACCCTGCCCTGTAACTTTTCCTTTCAACAGACCTGGAAGGAGAAGTTCGTTCTCTCTCAGGCCCAGCTAATTGCCTCCTCAGACGGAGCATTGAGATGAGCAACAGACATCATCCACATTTTTTTTCTTTGTTTTTTTCTTTTGTTTTTCTGTCTGTGTTTTCAGCAACGTCAGTTGATTACAGTTCCTTTGCAGACAGATGCAACAGCTGGATAGAGCTCATTAAACTGAAAGCTCAGACCATAAGGCGCGGATCAATTAAGACAAGTAGGCGGCTGTTTCTACCACGTTATGATAATCTGAGACATATCTCTGATTTCCCAGTGGTGAATAGTGGAGTTCTCTGCCCAGCAATAGTCTGTTTGCAGGTCAGATGTAGAATGACTCTCTGAGTGTGCAAAGTGCAGACGTTCTCCATGTCTGTGTAAGCTAGAATGGGTTATGAGCTTAGCATCTATAAGGAGCAAAATGCAGTATTTCTGATCACTGTTCGCTTAGTAAAAATTAGTTATTGATAAATGTATACAGCTACTAATTATATAACATGCACTGCATGGATGTAGGTGTATGTATGATCTTGGAAAATTATTGGTGGGAAACGGGAAGCAATCACCAAGGTGACAGTCAAGGCAATGGTCACTAAATTAGCAAGTGGTGAGTTATTCTTCAGTAGTTCTTTGGCCACAGGTCTGACTATCTTGCTTAAATTAGCAGAAATTAATAATCTGTTTTAATGAAAAATGCTGCACTGGGGAAACACATCAACTTTCACACTCTCCCTGTGATAATTTGTTCCTCCAGCAGAATATGTTATTTCCAAACGTTCGCACTTTTTCTTTACCTTCACCTTATAACTTGATTGTTGTATGTGCAGCTACTCGCCTCAATGTTTTCTTTTGCAGGAATGCCACTCTTCCAAATAAATTCCATTTCAGCTTTTTGTCTCCTTTTGCATGCCCTGCATGATAATTTCCTTTCTCACATGATATGGCTGAGCATCACAGGCAGCTGAATGTTATCACCAAGCTATTTGGAAACCATAAAGAAGAGTTGTTTTGTATTAAAAAAAAGCAACCTTGACACGGTAGTTACTTTCTCTTCTTTCTTTTCTGACCCTTTCAGCTGCCTCTCTTGACAAAGCCAGCCCGCTGGCCGAGGGTCCCTTCCGGCACCGCTCCGTCCCGTCATGCGCCAATTCCACCGTCACTGTTGTTAAGATGACACCTCTCTCTTTTCTACCTGGGGCAAAAATAACCAAGTATCTTGGAATAATCAACATGTTTTTTATACGAGAAACCACTTCTTTGCGTGAGGTGAGCTGCAAATCCGGATTTGGTGCATTTGGGTAGCTATAGTAATTGAAGCAACTTACATAATCTGATGTCTGCGAAGGTTTGAATTGAGGTATGGCACAAGAGTCTTCAGGCTTTATGACTTGAGGCTAGAGACTGTTGTGCCACTTTTCTCCCCAGAAGAGCTGCTTTGGGTGTTTTGGGTGCCGTCTCAGCAGCAAGCAGCTGGTGGTATTCAACTGAATAACTCCAGTCCAGATCCTGACAATAAATACTGCCCCAAGCATGCCAAAATCTAAGTTGTGTTTCTTTTAATTTTTCTGTCATTTAGGGAAGTAGCTGCATCCTTCAGCAAGAGGTTCTGTTCGCAGAAGTGAACTGCACCTCTGGTCTGGCTTGTCAAGGCTGAAGCTGGTATCCTGGTGCTGCTAGTTACACGTGGATAAAATTATGTAGCAGGCTTAATAAAAATAATCAGCTTTCACAAAAATGGATTAAGTAGCTCTTTGTACAAATGTTTCTCAGACAAACTTCTCATTTGGGTTTTGCAAATTATGGTTTCCTCTAAGGTGAGCCATCTGTGTGAAGATGACGTTTTTCAAAGGATAGGACCTGAGAAATAGTTACATGGCAGTTGCTGTTCCAGCTGCACTTTCAATAGGTAGAAATTAAATGCCACCCTCCAGGCTTTGTGGCTCTGATCTGATTGGAGCAAATGTGGGTTGCTCAAGTGCTTATTCACATCCTGCATGAAACTGGGAAGCCTGTGCAACGTCTGGTGCTGTCAGTGTGTTATTTTCAAGACCTAGGGCAGCTAATTTAAATCTATTTCAGCTAGGTAAGCTGAGTCACAAGCCACTCCTAATACCAGTTGCACTCTATTGCCCTGAGGCCATAACAGAGTCAAAACACAGTGGTAATTATACCCAACTTGAGCAAGTTATTTTGGTGCCTACAGAAAAATAATTAGGAGCATTTGTATAGTAATTTTGGTTACAGAATTTTGAATGTGTGAACACTTTCATATGTGCAAATACTTATAATGTGCTGTGCTTCACTTTTCAGTCTAATTTATCCACTGCTCTTTAGATTCTGTAGTTCACACTTGTATTAGTAGTTCAAGTTCATCTTAGTTAAGCTGCCACTGCTACCTCCTTGGGTCACTGCTCTGGTGGGCACATAGGTGGGCAGTCTGCTGCTCTTGCCTTGCAGTGTCCTGTTGAAATCTTACAGATCTTTGGCTCCAGTGGTGAGCCCTGTTCCATCAGTTTCTTTCTTCCAACCTTCCTGGTCTTTTTTTCCCTAAAGTGGTTGCTCACATTCTTCCATAAGGACTGTCTGTGAAAAACTGGACTTGTTTCCTCCTCTTCCCTTCATTCTGTTTGGAATCATCCAGTTTTCAGGCAAACAAGCAACAATCCCCCACGGCCTGGCGAGGCCAAAGCAGTACTAAGAGTACTAAAGAGTACTAAGGACAGGGCAGAGTTGGGCTCTCCATTTCTCTCCAGCCAAGACTGAAAACTACTGGCAGTCATTAGCAGCTATGAAGTCACGCTGACCAAAAGTGATGGAAGGTCCCGACCAGTCATTTCCTGGAAATTAAGTCCTTTTTAATCTCATTCCAGTAGAAACTGTTCTGTTCTTGCTTTACCCTTTTTGAAAAAGTGATGAGAGAAAATAGCCTTATCCAGGTGCCAGTGGAATAGTGCATGCTCCTGCAAAGCTGTGGGAATATCTGAAAAGTATGGGTGGCTAAATGTAGTGTAATGCCTGCAAATAACAGTCAAAAATGAATGACTTAGTTGATCTGATTTTTAGCAGTGACCATTAAAGAGCATTTCTGTATTTCTTGGAGAGTGGTGTTTAAATTCTGGGCATGTTCTAGGACTCGCTGAAATACTGAACTGGTAAAATGCAAGAAACATATTCAGCATCTTACAGTGACCCTTAAGTAACTTACCTTTGTATTGTGTATTTTCTTCCATTTAGGAGGGTGGTGTCAGTGGTTTTCTCCACGCTTTTATTGCTGAAGTGTTTGCAATGGTGAGAGCCCACGTGGCAGCGTTAGGGGGAAATGCAGTTGTCTCATATATAATGAAGCAGTGTGTTTTCATGGAGAACCCAAACAAAAATCAGGTAAATGTCATGTGAAATAATACTGCTATTATGATCAGGATGTATAGATGTATGATCATAGATGTATGTGTTAGATACAAAATAAACAGCAACAACAGTAGAGCTGCATCTCCACAACACTTTGAATTTCTCTTCATGTTTGTTTAAAGAAATAAAGGCCATGTTAACTACCCCCTCCTCTCCCCTATTAACATGGGAAAAAAAAAAGCATCTTAAATATCCAAGTGGGTAAAAATACTGAAGTCACAAAACTGAAATAAATTGCAGGAAACATTAGTGCTGATTTATTTACTTTTCCTAATGGCACAATGTTATATTCATCCTTATGTGGAGTTGCTTATACAAGATGCCCTATTTTGACCCTAAATGGAGAAAACTTACTAACAAGGAAGGCAGCTAATTATGGTCTTTGGGGTATATGAAATGTTTGCCAAGTGGTAGTGCAGGGAAGTGCAGAATACGTCATTTATGGAAGGGGCTTAGAAGGATCTTTGCATGTCTGTGTATGATCTCTATCCACCTTTCTACTAGTGATGTACCTGTCTGTAGCAGCAATTAATAAACATTGTAAAATATTTAATGTTTGGTAACTGCCTTTTGTCCCTTTTTTTTCAGGCCCAGTGTTTAATAAACGTTAGTGGAGACGCCGTCATCTTTGTATGTGAATCTGAGTTAGAAATGTTACCCACTCAGCCTTCCGCAGCGGTTCCTCAGCCCACAAATTCTGCAGGAGATGTCACAACATGAAGTCTGAGAAAGTGAAATAGGCTCTGGCAGATATAAAGATTGCTTGAAATGTGGGAATTTTAGGTTTGCATCTTCAAAATCGGTATCTTGCCACATGATTAATGGCCAAAATCAAGGACAATCGCTGCACTTTGTCTTTCAACTTTATGTAGTAATCATGGCAGGGTATTGGCAGGGATACTCTGATTCTGCTTTTGTTATTACAGGCCCCTTTCAAACACAAAGAGAAACTGAAACACTGATATGGAAGTGTAGATTAAAATTGACAGCAAACAGGACTCTGAAAGTTTTTAAACTGTTCAACAGGACTAGGATGAACTGTAATTCATGACAGTCTCAGAGTTTGCTTATTTATTCTGAGATCATAAAAGTAAAAAGGGAACATAATTGAGGTGCCTCTATCAGCCACCACTGTTCAAAGAGCAAGAGGTTTGTGGGAAAGTTAATAAAAAGTGAAATGAAGTCTGGACTTGTCTTAGATTATAGAGTTTGGAGAAGAAGAAGAAGCACCAAAAATGTCACAGTTTGAATTCTGCACACTGGAAGAGTTTCCTGATTCTTTGTGAACTACTGAACAGTTTTTGTTGTAAAACATCTTTTAAAGTTGTTGGGCGGTGAAATGTGGGTTAGGTGTTATTAAAAATATATATATATTTTTCTTAGGGCAGAGTTTTCTTGCAGTGGTGATTTGAACAAGGTTCTGTGAAAGTCACTTAATACGAAGGTATGAGCCTGCAACCCTTCAGGAAGCTGGCAGAGCCGTGCTACTGTGGGCTAAGGTTTGTGATGTCTGTTTCTGCAAGTTGTTCTTGTCCTGCACTGTACGTGGGAAATGAGGCTGCTGCGAGGAAAGACAGGTTTTCATTTCCTGCAAATCTCTGGAAGACATTATTAGATTAATATTAAAAAAAAAAATGCAACATTTGATTTGAAGATGCATTCTTAAGTAATTCTGGCAGCATCATCTATGGAACTTGAACAACTATGTAAACTTGAATGTAAATACTCGGCTCGTTGTGCAGAATTGAAGCAATGGCATGATTATTTGTTAAATCTTAATTATTTCATTGTAAATGAGCATGAAAATCATTCTTTGCACAATATATTTCTGTATAAAAGTTCTTGCATTTTATATTTGTAATAGTTAAATGTGTATAATGGATGTGTATTAAAGATGTCCCAACCCCTTCTCAGTGGAGCGTTTTCTGTCAGGTGTTAGAATCTTCCTATTTGAAGCTCAGAGACTTCATCAATTGTCTTTAAATGTGAAGTGCTCAAATTAGGTACTACTAATGGGTTGTAACCAAAGCTGCCAACCATGAAACCAGCTGTGAGCAGTTGTAGCTCTCTTGACAATTAGGAAGGCAAATCCTGCAAAAAAGTGCAGGGTCCTACACCTGGGGAGGAACAACCCCAGGCACCAGTACAGATTAGGGGTCGACCTGCTGGAGAGCAGCTCCATGGAGAGGGACCTGGGAGTGGCCACCCTGTGCCACATGCTGTAGGTGTGCCTGCTGGAGCGGGAAGGTTGGACTAGATGATCTCTAGAGGTCCCTTCCACCCTTGAAGATTCTGTGATGGCCAAATGCTGACAGCCCCTCGGAAGGTCTTGGGGCGGGCATGAGAAGCTGTTCCCAGCATAAGGATTCTGGATCTTTGTCTGGATTTTTGTGGCTTCTTTGGAAATAACATAAATGTCATCTTTTAGTTTCCAGCTGCTTAAAAAAAAATACTGTCAAGGGCTTTTATTAAACATAGAGGAAATGATAATTTTTCACTGATCATTGTTCCAGAAAGACCAGCACAGTTTTTAACAGCTGTTAATTGGGATATAGAATTTCCTAATTGTTCCAGCTAGATAAATGTAATTGGTAGACAGTAACTGGTTGGCCAGGTCCTTCTTTCGTGAGTGAAGATGAAAGGGATAGATGTTCATGCAAAAGATGGGCCATTTGGAAGATGTTGCCAAATACATCTCTCAGACTAAAAAAGGATTGTATAAATAATAATATTAACTTCAAGGAACTTTTTCTGAAGGTAAAGCAAGGTGATTTTGTTCCTGCTGGTTGCAGTAGTCAGGATGGATTTCGAATGAATTTTGAACGGAATTCAAAATGGAATTAGGTCCTGATCTGCTTTGTCACTGGGTTAAGCAACTTGGCAGCTCTGTGAAGTGTTTGTTCTTTGATGTAACTGGCAGACAAAAGGTCCGAGCAGCCGCTGATAGCCCTTGGTGTGCTAGCGAGACCAGCATGCTGCTTGCAACTGCTCTGCAGAGAAAGAGAAAATGGGCAAAATGGAGAATGTTCCTGAGGCAAAGAGGTGCCCCTAGGTCTTGGTGAGATGAAGACCCACTGCTGGAGTAGGTAGCAGAGTGTGCGGTGGCCAACATCTTGGAAAGGTTTACACAGGAGAAGCCGACTCTACAGCCTCAGTTCCACTAAGACCCACTACTGGTTTTACTAGTTGTGGAGGACACAGGCCTGGTAGGTTTTGTCTCTTTTGTGGTTACACAGTAATTGCTCATAATCACCTTGGGTGTTTTCCAGTTCATCACACCTAACCTCAGTAACAGGAAGCAACTGTTTCTTTTGCCACTGAGATGTTTTCTGTGTAATATTGAAAAGAAGTCTACAAGGCAGCTCTTGGCTTAACCCCAGGGTGACTTGGCAGGTGGATGGCAGAGAGCATTTCATTTCCATGCTTCTTTTCCAGGGTTTCTGCCTTTATTCTTCAGCTTGCATGGTGGACATTAGGCAGCAGCTTTGTTTCTTGCATTAATCATAACCCTCCTTCTAGATGTAGCAGTTAAGGAAGGGAAAAGCTAAAACAATAGCTAAAATTTTAAGACATTAATGCAGAAAGCAGGCACAAGGAGCTGTGTGTCTGCAGCTCAAGTTGATTCATGTTCCATACTGAGCTCAGAATGGCTGGAAACTGTAACTGTCTTGTGTAGGTACCAAAAGCACCTGATTAGTTAATGACTTGCCTTTTTAGTCACGACATAGGCCATACAGGTGAGAATCACGGAAGCTGTTGCTGAAACAGAGTAGCGATAAATGGAAGATACTCTGCTGTCTACTCCTGGACTTGGACTTCCAGATTTGGGGCAGCAAAGAGTTTGAGATAATTGTGAGTCTAACATTGCTGTTTCATCACAGGAATTTTTCAGAAAGGTTTCACATTTCAACTGTCTTGCAAGTAGTTAGTATAAACATGCATATTAAATCAGACACCTTTATTTTTGTTGAGAAAAGGTCATTAATGTGGACAGATACACACTGTTAAGTTACTTGTGGGAGAAAGAGATGGAGTTTTCAGCTGTTCCAATTTGTTTTATTTTATTAGAACCAGGTGCTTACAATACCTGAATCAAAGAACATCTCCACCTGGCAATCTTGCAAGATGTGGAAGCAGCAGGGTCATTTCAGTCTTGCAAGAGGACCGTCACTTCTGAAGAGCCCATCAGTTGTGTGGGAGGCACCCGAGGTTTTGAATGGAGCTGTCTGTCCTGCTCTGCCCTCTAGAAGACCCAAGGATGAGTGAAAACTCCTCTAGACACCAAGCCCTCCTCCTCCTCCTCCTCCTCCTGCCTCCTCTCTGTGCCCGGGCATCTCCTGCCCTCTCCCTGCGCGTCACCTTCCTTGCCCAGGATCCTACCGTGGGCTGCGCTGCCCCCTTCCTTCTGTCCTTGCCCTCTCTGGAAGGTCTGCTTGCTTGCAAGCAGCCACAGTGCACGCGCTGCATCTCCACGCAGCGGGGACAAACCTTTCGTCCAAGTTCAGGCTCTGCAGGTTCTGTTCTGCAGGCCCTGCCTGCAGGACAGCAGAGCTATCTGCATTGCAGAGCTATAATTCAGTTTTCAAACCTTTTCTGAAATCGCCGAGCTATTTATAGTTTGGCTTCAGTCCAAGGCTTGGTTGTTATTTGCATGAGTGAAAATGGTTGAGAGGTGACATCAAAGAGTCGCTTGTTATCAAATTGTCATAACCTCCCTCTTCTGCCTTCTGTAGTGATCCCATCCTGTCTAACACCAGGTGTGTGTGTTCCCAGCACTCACCCATTTACCTATTGAAGAGCTGAGTGCAGGATCATCAGAACATGCTGGTCTGGAGGGATCTCCATGCTAGAAAGCTGTAAACAGGCTTTCAAATTGTCACAATTTTACATATGAATTGCTGAACTTACTCAGAAGCCATGCAAAGAGACTGAACCTGAGCAATGATGCTTTCAGACAGTACCTTCTCCTGACAGTGCCAAGGTAACACGTGCCAAAGGTGCAAGGCTCTCTTGTTTCTGATACTGTCATGGGTTTTGACAGTCTCCACAAATAGCAACAGAGCACGTCTGCAGCCCTTATGACACAGGAAGAGTCAGATATCTTCTGGGTGCCCACATTATTTTCCTATTGCAATTGCAGAAGAAGAAAGGCTAGCGTAAAGCAGGCAAAGGCTGCAATAAATAGAAGAATGAAATATAGACAAAAAAAAAAAAAAAA